AGAGAGGGAGGGAGGGAGAAAGAAAGAAGGGAGGGAGGAAGAAAGAAGGGAGGGAGGGAGGAAGAAAGTGAGCGAGACAGAGAGAGAGGGAGGGATGGAGAAAGAAAGAAAGAAAGGAGGGAGGAAGAAAGAAAGTGAGCGAGAGAGAGAGAGAGGGAGGGAGAAAGAAAGTGAGCGAGAGAGAGAGGGAGGGATGGAGAAAGAAAGAAAGAAAGAAGGGAGGGAGGAAGAAAGTGAGCGAGAGAGAGAGGGAGGGATGGAGAAAGAAAGAAAGAAAGAAGGGAGGGAGGAAGAAAGTGAGCGAGAGAGAGAGCAATGAATTTGCAATGAAAGACCAAAGTCATCCAGTTTCAAAAAGAGTTGGTAATTCGATGTCCCGAGTGACAGAGAGAGCTGGTGACGCAAATGTACACATCTTAGTCTATATTAAAACCTAAAAGATATTTATTAACAAATCTCATAAATGATTAATTCATAAATACAGTATCATTTCATTTAAGGGTGTCGCACCACATGATATTTTAAAACATTTACTAGCCTTTCCTTGTCATAAAACAGTCAAATTATCTGTTATTTTGAAAAACTTTGTCACAGTCCTGAGGATGTTGTTTATATTTTTCTACAATTTGGTTGCACCACATGAAAAAAAGGTTGGTTAACTCAATTAAAAAAAATTTAATAAAAAAAATAATAGAAGTTAAGGACATATTTCTTAATGTTTATTTTTTTGGACAATTTTGATTTATTTAATGATTTTTCTTTGTGATATAAGGTCAGATGTATCATCAATCAGGCCTGTTTTGTAATATATAGCCCTACATAAACCACTAGATAGATAGATAGATAGATAGATAGATAGATAGATAGATATTTGATTTAATGTTAATGTATTTTTAAATAAATTAAAACAAGGATGAATTTAGATATATTTGATGTATTTTAATGTTTTGTGAAGTTTTCATATTCAAGTGAAGGTCTTCAAAACCTCATTGGTACCTGGTTCATGTGCAGATAATCATTGAGAGAAAGGTTCTGGTTTCGGTACCAGCACACATGAGTGATGGTGTTGGGTCTCTGGCCCTGACCGAGCAGGTACCGAGGGGGGAGCTCTGGAGACACGGCTGGAGAACTGAATACTGAGGGCAGGCGGGCAAATACAGCACAGGCACAGGAACAGATGTAAACAGGAAGGAGGACAGATAATGTGGTGCAGACAAAGTGATGAAGACAAAAAGAACAACAAGAAGAAAAAGAGAAGAAGAACAGAAGACACAAAGTGTGTTAGAAAGTTAGCTTTCAATCCCTAAGTGAGGAAAAAAAGACAGATCGGAAATTCTTCAAATCATATAAGAAATGTTATAAGAAATGAAGCATCCATGAAAATGTTCATTTATTCATTCAATTTCATTCCAAAAGGCAGTTACTGATGGACAAATAAAGAGGAAAAAAATGTTACAGACATAAAAACATGCAAGGGGAAGGGTGGAGAAGCTACTGGATGTGGCGTAACTGGAAAATATGAGGGTGAAGAAAAAGGAGACAGCAACAGAAAAAGATCCAAGAGTCTTTGCCCCTCATTCACAAGCTACGGTTGCAGTCCAGACCTCAACAGCCAGCCTCAGAGGTGTGTGTGTGCTTGTGTGTGTACATTTATGTCTGTAAAGCTCAAACTGGGTGAATCTCACAAAACCTCTTAAAGCATGAGTCAATTTTCACCCCACAACTGGTATTTAAACATTATTAAACATTTAAATTATTATTCACACTGAATTTATGATAAACAACTGGGTTGGAGAGCATGAGATTTTTTTTTTTTTTGCATTACAGTACTCACAATTCAGAGTGAAAATATAGCTGACATGAAAATAATAAGGAGAAGGAGGAGAAGAATACAACAACCATAATATATAAGTTGTAAGTCGATGATAAACTTCAACAAATAAATGAACTAATTAAACTATGATTATTTAAAAATGAAGTGTATAAATATATTGTAGAATATTTGTTTTACTGAATTAGCAGAAAACAAAGGATTATATTTTTTTCATTACAGTACTGACAATTCAGGGTAATAATAATAAATGCAAGTACTGAATTTATGACAAAAATAAACTGTAAAACATTAAAGGAAGGAAGGAAGGAAGGAAGGAAGAAAGAAAAATGAAGAAAGAAAGAAAGAAAGGAGGGAGGGAGGGAGAAAGAAAGAAGATGATGTAACCTGCCAGGCTCCAAAAAAAAAGACAAAAACTAAATAAATAAATAGACAGATAGATAAAGAAAAAAAATATATATATAAAAAAATATTTAAATGAATAACTAAAAACAAAATAAAAATGAATAAATACAAAATAAAATAAAACAAAAATAAATAAATAAAATTCAAAATTAATGAATTAATTGTAAATAAACAAATAAATACATAAATACTATTCCTCTGTCTAACATGTTGTGCTTCATGGAGTAAAGAAAGTAACTGCGGGTCACAGCAACACGACCGTGCATGCTGAGAGTTTTCATGCTTGTGTGAACGATTGCTTTCATCTGAAACGAGTCTCTTTACTCACTCCAGTTTGGACGAGGGTTTGGAGAAGAACTCGCTGTAAAGCTGGTGTTCATCTTGACACACATGGACCATAAACGCACAGCCGCTGCGCACCTGAAACAACAGCAGCTGCACGTCACAAACTCACTCAGAGCGAGCGTCTGTCACACACTTTCAGTCAAAACATGCAAAAACCGTCATTCTGAACTTTCAACAACTTTTGACAAACACAAAGCTTAGGAAAACAAAAAAATACCAAATTGAATAACTAATTATGCCTATGTAGGTGCATTGTTTTCCTAAAACCTCCAAGTTGCAAAATGCTCAAGCAAACAAACAAATTTCCCCTCTATGAAAATCACAAAAGTCAGCACATGATGTGTGGAAGTAAATCCTTCTACTGTACGCTTAGTTCCTCACCAGAGCGCAGTGATCCTTGTTGTTCTGGCTGGTGAGATCTGTGATGGTGGCGTTTATACAGGGACTGAGCAGAACTTCCCTCTGCTCCAGATAACACTGATGAATCTCATCCAGCAGCTGCTGATACCTGACACACACACACACACACACACACACACACTCGCATTACATCAGTTTGTTTCTAAGCAGCATGATTCACGACAAATCCAAATAGATAAACAAACTAAATTACAAATAAATAAATACAAAAATAAAATGAAGTCAAATATATAAATAAAATCAATGAAAATTAAATAAAATAAATAAATAAACATTATGACTAAACAAAATAAAAAATAAATTAAATTAATAAAATAAGTGAAAATATATTAATAAATTAAAATAAATACAAAAATAAAATAAGTGAATAAAAAAAATGAAAAATATTTTAATTAAATACAAATAAATACAAATAGCAAATAAAAACTGAAAAAGGAGTAGATATAAATCAATAAAAATAAATATACTTATAAAAAAATAAAGTCAAATATATAAATAAAATCAATGAAAATAATTATATAAAAGAAATAATTAAATTTTGACTAAACAAAATGAAAAATACACAAATAAAATAAATGAATAAAATAAATGAAAATAAATGAATAAATAAAAAATATAAATAAACAAAATTCTAAATAAATACAAAAATAAAATAAGTGAATACAAAATGAAAACAAATAAATTAATACAAATAACAAATAAAAACAGAAAAGGGAATAATTACAAATAAATCAATAAACTTTAAAATAAATAAATATAAAAATAAAATTAAAAAATAAAATATATAAATAAAAATCAGAAGATCCAAAATTAAAACCTTTAAAAACAAAAAATAAATAAATAAAACTTTACTTCAAAAATAAATAACCAAAATAAATTTAAATATTAAAAAACCCTTTATTTTAGCTACATTAGCAACATCTGTGATTTTAATTTTGTTTAACTTAAAGAAAAATAACTAAATAAAAATGAAAACTATATTCACACACACATACATATATATATATATATATATATATATACATACATACACACACACACACACACACACACACACACGTGTATGTATGTATATATGAACCACTAAAAATGACCAAAACACAAAATTACTAAAACAAGGAACATATAAAAAAGGAAAATATAAATACAAACTGATTTAAAACATTAATAAAAAAAATATTACAGTATCCAGAAGTATTACTAAAATATGACTGTTTGTTTTATATGATTTAAATGAAAAAAAAAATCCCAAATTTTAAATATATGCATAAATATGTGTCTCAGACATTCGGACTCCACTGTATATGCATACAAATGAGAATCATCAGAAAATAATCCATCAAAACATTCTCCATCACTCACTCTGGGAATTTGTCAGACCGCTGTTCAACTTGTTCAATGAGCCTCTGAAACAAAAAAATCATATACAAATAATGTATTATATTATTTTGTTGAATTATGGAAGAGCCAAATCAAACAATCCGATCTGGTGTCAAACGAGTGTTTGCACACAAGACTGACCTGAACTTTGGGAGCCGCTGCTCTGAACTTCACGTAGTAGAGCGTGAAGGCGTTGTCTGCGTTCGGAGCGCCCAGCAGGTCCTGCTCGGGTCATATTCAATAAATAAATGAACAGGAACCGATACAATCATGTGTGATCTAATCATACGGTTTACTAAGCGTACCCTTTTGCTCAGCTGAGCCGTGAGGTTCTGCAGGGTGCTGACCGTGTGGCTCTTGATGAGGAGCATGGCTTTGGAAAGACACTGCTTGAATTTGGTCAGATAGACTGGGTAGTCTTTAAAATGTGGCTGAGAGAAAGAAACATTAAGAGGAATGTGCATGTGTGGAAGACCGAAACATTCTATTGGAACATAGGAGGAGAATATTGTAACATTGTACGAATCGATTCGCTCACATGTGATAAAACGTATTCTACGCATTCGTCTAATTTGGAAAGCATCGGGATGAATCCCTCGCTGTTCACCGATAGCGTCGGGGAGTTCAGTTTCTGCAGGAGGGATAAAACTGATTAATAAACAGACATGACACATCCAGTCTGGAAACGGCAGCAAAGTATTACCGAGTTTATGTTTTCCAGTGCATTAAAATATGAGAGTTTCTCTTGAATGCTCTCAGCCAGATCCACCAGCTCTGACTGTCGACAGAAGAGAGAGAAGACAAATATACAGCATTTATCAAATCAATGTACGTGTGAACATTACATACACCACCAGTCAAAAGTTTGGAAAAAAAATAAGATGTTCTAATGCTTTTGAGTCTCCTCTGCTCGTCAAAGCTGTATTTATTTGATCAAATAACCTGTAAAAATAGTGAAATATTATTGTAATTTAAAATAACTGTTTTCTATGTGAATATATATTAAAATGTAATTTATTTCTGTGATGCAGACGCTGAATTTTCAGCATAATTTCTCCAGTCTTCAGTGTCACATGATCAGAAATCATTCTAATTTGCTGCTCGAGAAACATTTCTGATTATTATCAATGTTGAAAACAGTTATTTTTGTTGAAACTGTGATGCATTTAATTTTTCAGAATTCTTTGATGAATAGAAAGTTCAAAAGAACAGCATTTATTTGAAACAGAAATCCTTTGTTACATTATAAATGCATTTACTGGCACTTTTGATCAACTAAATACTTTTCATCGAACTTTTGAAAGATAGTATATATCACGGTTTCCATAAAAAATATGCGGCAGCTCAATTGTTGATAATAATCAGAAATGTTTCTCGAGCAGCAAATCAGCATATTATACTGATTTCTGAAGATCATGTGACACTGAAGACTGGATGCTGAAAATACAGCTTTGATCACAGAAATAAATTACATTTTACAATATATTGACACAACAAACACTTATTTTAAATCATAATAATATTTCACAGTTATTTTTGTTGAAACTGTGATGCATTTAATTTTTCAGAATTCTTTGATGAATAGAAAGTTCAAAAGAACAGCATTTATTTGAAACAGAAATCCTTTGTTACATTATAAATGCATTTACTGGCACTTTTGATCAACTAAATACTTTTCATCGAACTTTTGAAAGATAGTATATATCACGGTTTCCATAAAAAATATGCGGCAGCTCAATTGTTGATAATAATCAGAAATGTTTCTCGAGCAGCAAATCAGCATATTATACTGATTTCTGAAGATCATGTGACACTGAAGACTGGATGCTGAAAATACAGCTTTGATCACAGAAATAAATTACATTTTACAATATATTGACACAACAAACACTTATTTTAAATCATAATAATATTTCACAATTTTTACTGTATTTTTAATTCAATAAATGCCTTGAGTGAGAAGAAGAGACTTCTTTCAAACACATTAAAGAATCGTTATAGTATAGTGTGTATAATATGCGCTGTTAAGAAGCTTTGTGAGTGAGGGCACACCAGACCTGCTCCTTCAGCAGTTGCTCACAGGCCTCATGAAGCGTTCCTGTTTTTGTGGACACAAAGAGGTACTGCTTCTGCAGAGACTGCAAATGCTCCAGCGCAGCGTTCACGTCGCTCAGTATGGCGTCGCACTGCTCCTGATAGCCCTGCAGAGCATCTCGAGTCCTCCTGCGCAGTAAAACACAATTCATCTGATCAAACATCAGCCCTCATGTCAGTATTGTGTTATAAACACCCACTGACAGGTTAAAATTAGAATTCTTAAAGGGGTCATCGGCTGCCCATTTTCCACAAGTTGATATAATTCTTTAGGGACTTAATGACAAGTCTATAACATAGTTTGATTACAATTTCTCAGTGGTAGTGTAAAAAACACTTTTTTACCCTGTCAAAAACAGCTATGGACACATCAACCCGTTTTAGTGCATGTTCCTTTAAATGTTAATGAGCTCTGCTGACTCCGCCCCTCTCTTCCGAGCCGCTCTCAGAGAGACGGTTTACTTCAGCCGCATTCATCGTGAAACTTGCTAATTAGCACATTATTAGGAAACGCGATGTGCAAAGATTCATTACAAAACATACTCACTTCTTCTGTAGATGAAGCTGGATCACGAATGATTCGCGCGAACATAAACGCATTTATGTAGATCAGCGGAGCATTCCCTTCAAAAACAAATGTAATCCACTGCGTCTTCAGCGGCTCAGATGTCAGGAGTAACATCCAACAACAGAACACCTCGATCGCTTGTTAGGAGTCATTCTTGTCTACATCTGCTCCGGCGGTGAAACAATGGCGGACTGATGACAGTCACTCAGGGGCGGAGCTAAGGTAAGACGCCAGTCCAGTCTGTGCTGAAACGCTGCTGTCAATCAAACTATCGTGGGAGGGGCCTGTCTGTGTGACGTCACACAGACAGGCATCTGAGATCGGCTCGATTTGAAAAAGGGGAAAACATTTAACCAGATAAAAAAAAACACCACCGGGTGGATTTGTATCATTACAGGGTGGTTGTGTACACACACTGCCAACACACATTTCAGTTCAAACTACTTATAAAAGTGCATGTAGCATCCTATGACCCCTTTAATAATATTGGACACGAACACACACACCTGTACTTAGAGGCTTCGTCCTGATCCATCTGAACCTGCAGCTTTGAGAACCAGGAGAAAAACTGACAGACAGATGATGTCATTAGTCATGTGACGATGATGATGATGATGATGAAGTCATTCATCTTTGGCTCGATTTGAAAAAGGGGAAAACATTTAACCAGATAAAAAAAAAAAACACCACCGGGTGGATTTGTATCATTACAGGGTGTTTGTGTACACACACTGCCAACACACATTTCAGTTCAAACTACTTATAAAAGTGCATGTAGCATTCTATGACCCCTTTAATAATATCGGACACGAACACACACACCTGTACTTAGAGGCTTCGTCCTGATCCATCTGAACCTGCAGCTTTGAGAACCAGGAGAAAAACTGACAGACAGATGATGTCATTAGTCATGTGACGATGATGATGATGATGATGAAGTCATTCATCTTTTGTACAACAGATACAAAAAACAAACAAGAGTCTGAAAACTTCCATTCATTAAAAGTTAAATTTTTTGTTAAAATACAGCTTCATATGTAGACGTACAAGTAGCGCTCCACTTGCTCAAAATTACACATTAAGTAAAGCAATCGCCATTACTCTTTGCTCAACAGCTACAATGTTAGACAATCTCATCATTTATGACGCAACCAGATATAATCTCAGAAATGAATTTTTTTTTTTTTTTACATTTTTAGAAAATGTCTGAACTTGCATGTTAATGTGCATATTATATACTACAGAAGTATGTTAGTAGTCTAGTAGTATGTCAGTATATAGCAGGGCTGGGCGATTTTATCGATTAATTCGAATTTAACCCCTTAATTTCACATTTTTGAACATAGACGTGAAAGTGCACGATCCAAACAGAAAACATTTCGTAACATGATTTTGATGTGCCGTTTTCACGTTAACGCAACGTCTGATTTTAAAATGGGTTTCAAAGGAAGAATTTCGAGATTTTAAGTTTTCAGTTGATATATAATTTCTGATGATTTCTGAAGTGTGATCGAGAAAAAGGCAGCGAAGAAGACTTTTTGTGACGAAGATCAGAAATCCTGTTACGATGTATATAATTTTCCTGCATAATTCTTAACAAAAACAGTGGTGAAATATCTATTTAGGAGTCTTAGACCTTTCCAACGATATATAGTTTGTCATGATTAGATTATGATTTAACTGTAATATAGAATAAACCGCTGTTCTCGGTTTTTACAGAACATTTACAGCCTAGTTAATAATAGTCCACCGCTGTTTTACCTTCAGTCGTTTTGAATTTGAATTACCTTGACTTTTCAGATTTTTTTAAAGCATTTTCCTTGTATTATTTCTGAACATATATGTATAAGACAAGTCTGTAGTTCATGCATGTTGAAACATCTGCAATGATGAATTGTTTACAGTAAGATTAATAACATGCATTTAAAAGAAAATAAGGTGAATTTGAATTTTTATGCCAACTTTAGTGTTTTCGTGAAAGCGTAAGCAGCAACAAAAACGTTTGTCCTCATTTTAATTCAAATGCGAGTAAAAATTCTGAATTTTTGGTGGATCAATAAAGTAATGAGTCATTCCCTTTCACATACTGTATATATTACACACAATGCATACTGCAGAAATAGTAAGAGCAGTATGTCTGCGATCTCTTAAAGTCTAAAAAAGTTATCTATTATTAGAGATAAAAATTCGTCTCATATTTGATGAAGTTTGCATCACTGATTCTGTTATTCTCCTGTTTATACATCTGCTTTGACACAATCTGTACTGTATACAGCACTATAGAAATACATGTGACTTAACCTGATTAGTCATGTTTATAGTATATATATATATATATATATGTTAGTATGTAGTATGCTAACTCTGGTTGAGTTCATTTATTTTGAACTGGACTTTACTCTGCTGTTCAAAAGTTTGGGATCACTAAGATGTTTTTGAAAGAAGGCTCTTCTGCTCATCAGGGCTGCATTTATTTGATCAGAAATACAAAAAAACAGTGAAATATTTTTACAATTTAAAATAATGGTTTTCTATTTTAATAAACGTTAAACTGTAATTTATTTCTGTGATCAAAGCTGAATTTTCAGCATCATTCCTCCAGTCTTCAGTGTCACATGATCTTCAGAAATCAGTATAATATGCTGATTTATTATCAATATTGGAAACAGTTGTGCTGCTTAGTATTTGTTTGGAACCTGTGATTTTTTTTCATGATTATTGAAGAATAAACAGTTAAAAAGAACAGCGTTTATTCAAAATAGAAATCTTTTGTATCAACATACGCCACCGTTCAAAAGTTTTGGGTCAGTAATTAGTTTTTTCTTTTTGAAAGAAATGAATGCTTCTATTAAGTAAGGATGTGTTAAATTGATAAGTAAGGATGTGTTAAATTGATAAAAAAGTGATAATAAAGACTTATATTGTTAGAAAAGATGTCTATTTTTTTTTAAAGCTTTTTAACTTTATTCATCAAATAATCCTGGATCATGTGACACTGAAGACTGGAGCAATGATGCTGAAAAATCAGCTTTGCATCACAGAAATAAATTACATTTTAAAGTTTATTAAAATAGCAAACCGTTATTTTAAATCGTAATAATATTTCACAATTTTACAGTTTTTTCCGTATTTCTGATCAAATAAATGCAGCCTTGATGAGCATTAGAGACGTCTGTAAAACACATTTCAAATCTAACTGATCCCAAGCTTCTGAACAGCAGAGTATTTCTCCTGAATTCTTTCACGGTGTGCGTGCTTCACCTGCTGAGCCGTCTGGATCCTGTGGTTCTCCAGCTCCAGCGTCTGAAAGCCTTGCAGGAGCACCTCCTCTGTGGACTCGGGCAGAGTCGCGGTGAACGCCGAGCGCAGAGAGCGAGACGTCAGGCTGCAGATGTCCTCGATGGGCAGCTGAGGAAACATTCAGAGGAGCATCACTATCTCACTCACAGTTACGAGTGAGGAACAACCACGGTTTCAATGCATCAGATGACTCCTCAACTGTTTGTGTATATATATATATATGTATGTATGTATGTATGTATGTGTCCCTGGAGCACAGAAGCAGTGTTAAGTCGCTGGGGGATATTTGTAGCAATAGCCAAAAATACATTGTATGGGTCACAATTATACATTTCTCTTTTATGCCAAAAATCATTAAGACATTAAGTAAAGATCATGTTCCTTGAAGATATTTTGTAAGTTTCCTACCGTAAATATATCAAAACTAAATGTTTGATTAGTAATATGCATTGCTAAGAACTTCATTTGAACAACTTTAAAGATGATTTTCTCAATATTTAGATTTTTTTGCACCCTCAGATTCCAGATCTCAGCCAAATATTGTACATAAAAAAAAATAAAAAAAAATAAAAAAAAGCCTATTTATTCATATGTATATATGATGTATCAATTTTAAAAAATTGACCCTTATGACTGGTTTTGTGGTCCTGGGTCACATATGGCAGCAGTTTCATTCACAGGTGTATTACAATGCAATAGGGATGTAATGGTTACCGGTTTGATGATAAATCATGATAAAATTCCCCACGGTTAGTATTACCGTTTCATCTTTTAATTATCCTTAAACCCGCATTAGATTACCGCGATTTGAACAACTCGCGATAAATAAATACTGTCTGGCCAAAAACGGACCGAATCTGCTGTATATTTTGACCGGTTGATGAAAAACAAGCTTGCGTGGATTCTTCACATTTGAACAATACCGTGATAACACTGATAACCGTGATAAGAAATGTTCATACCGTTACATCCCTACAAAGCAATAAGGAAAATATAGCATATTTCATAAGCAAACATATCAATTTTGTCAAATGTATTCGATTTTTAAACTTCAACATTACTCGATAACTGTTCAATCATTTTAGATCAGGTGTTTTCAGTTTTTTAGATGCCACAGATCCTTGCACGACCCTAAAATATAAAAGATTATATATATTTCACAATATATTTGCATGTGCATAGAGCCAATTTATACAGTGAAAATGTCATATTATGTATTTAATTTTTAATACTGATTTATAATTTGAATAAAATATTTATGCATTTAGTTTAATCTTATTTATTTATCGTTTACCCCGTTTGTCTCTAAACTTTTTCCCAGACCCCAGAAACTCATAACACTACTTAATATCTCAGTTAAAACATTTTAGTCAGGTGTTTTTAATCCTTTAGATGCCACAGAGCCCCAAATATAATATATATATATATATATAGTGAAAAATGTATGTGAAAAAATGTGTAAAATATTATTTGGAAGATAGTTAGCATTCATTTATTACTGTTTTTATTTATTTATATTTTATTATTATATTTTGATATTGATAAAAATAAGCTTAAAATAAATTAATTAATTAAAAAAAAATAAAGATGATTTATTATTATTAAAATAAGCTTAAACTAAATAAATAAATACATTTTATTTGAAATAATAAATGGATACTAAATATTTTCCAAACAGTATTTTACACATATTATTATTAATTTATTCTTACATTTTTAAACTCTGTTTTTCTTCAACTTTTTCCCAGATTTAGTTTCTATTACATTACTTTTTTTTTTTCAACTTAGGGTAAAAATGTCAATCAATAATATATTGTACAATATTAAATAATACCTCTGTTTTTCTCTAAACTTTCCCCAGAGCCCAGACCGACGTGGACGGCCTTTTTTAACGTGGAAAGCTAGGCTTGTTTAGCTGAGCACTCATTAGCATACTGCATGGATTACAGACGCGGCGCAGATCGACAGCCACTAACCTCCCCTCAGCAGCCGGACGAGGGTCTGAGCAGACCGAGTGTACTTCCTAGTGCACTACAGAGCAGAAGCGAGACTCTCAGAGCCGAGAGGACCGTGTTTGTGCGGTTAGCTCACAGGCTACAGCTGCTACAGCTGCTGCAGCTCCACTCACCTCAGCGGGAAGAAGCGCCGCTTCTGCGGCTGCGCGGATCTCGAGGACCGACTCCGTCTGTGTGTCCGTTAACGGCGCCGTCGGATCCGCGCGACGGTCCCAATGCGACACTTTCTCCCGAGTTTCCTGATCAGTGAGCTCCGGGAGACGCTGCTCTGCGGGCGACGCCATCACGGACAACAACATCCGACGACACCTTAACGGAAGCTTCATCCGGGGTGGGCGGAGTCAAGCCGCAGGCAGCCAATCAGTGAAGCGCTTTCACTTCTACGTCACCAGACTGCATGACAGTTCACTCGAATATTAAAAGGAGAACAAAACTATAATAAAGAGTGGTTTTATAAATTATATATATATATGTGCGTATGTATATATCCTTTTAATTTATTATTCATATTTAAAATAAATAAATTATATAATATAAAATATTTCATGTGTCAGGATATTGTTTTTAATGTTCTAATATACAAAAAAAAAATAGCCTTACAAATGAAATATTGTATTTATATAATATATAATTTCTTACTATAATTAATACTACATTATATATATATATATAATTTAATATGCATAATATATACATGTATATATTATTTATTATGCATAGTTTAAATAGCACATTTAGGCAAAAATATAGTATATATATATACAATTTAATTTGTCAGGATATTTTTGTATTATCTATGTTCTATGTATTTTATATCATATCATATATATATGTATATCTATGTACTATTTAAAATATATTTAATATATCCTGTTAAGATATCCTGACAGAGCTGAAAATATTGATGAGTTAAGTCTCTAAAGCTTAACTAATTCCTACTTTAATTTGTTTTAAACTGTAATGAGTTTTATTTTCATTTTTAACCTCCTTCAGTATTGTATTCTTCCATTGCACAACACAGATATCTGCATGTTTAGAGGCAAGCATTCACACCGATAATGGGTCAAGCGATTTTATTATTCCAGGGCAGGACATTATTCACAATTTATTTAGAATTCAGAAAAAAAAAAAAATTTGGAATATAAAATATAACTGTAACACTGTACATTGAAACAGATTTTTAGGAGCATTTTCCAGAAAAGGGCACAAAAAAAAAAAAATCAATTTGAAGATTGAATGTGAACAGTTAATCAAACCAGACTCATGCATAAAGTGCAGGAGGTGCTACTCGACCTGCAACACCTGAAAGACATTTCTAACAAAAGCCATTCATTCATTCATTCACTGATTGTGAATTCAGAAAAAAAAAAATTTTGGAATATAAAATATAACTGTAACACTGTACATTGAAACAGATTTTTAGGAGCATTTTCCAGAAAAGGCAAAAAAAAAAAAAAAATCAATTTGAAGATTGAATGTGAACAGTTAATCAAACCAGACTCATGCATAAAGTGCAGGAGGTGCTACTCGACCTGCAACACCTGAAAGACATTTCTAACAAAAGCCATTCATTCATTCATTCACTGATTGTGACAGAAATCATTTAACTAGCATCCCTTTGTGCTTTTGGTCGGTCGGTCCAACCCAGACCTCAGCGGGACGATGAAAACGTCCCGAGAATCAGATCAGAAGTTAAATATCTACGTGACTATAAATTAATTTCAGGATATATCCATACTTTGGCATTTCTCCTTTCATGTCACGCCACGAGCGCGTCAGCGCAGGGAGACCAAAAAATCCTGAAAATCAAATTAAACGTCACAGTTTTCTTGCAAAAAGTTACAGCGTAAAGGTCAGGTAAATAGAAAAAGTGCACATACAATACATGGCTCTGTTCGGAATCGCATACTAGCACACTACCTACACTATTTCTGCAGCATACGGTATGCGTACTGTGCACACTATGCATATTTTAAAGTCAGTGAAATACCTGGATGACCTACAACATCTGCCAAAAATGCAATTACAGAGCATAGAAAAAGCTGCACTACAGGTCAAAACATTGGAATAATTAAGATAATTAAGTCTCACCAAGGCTGCTTTTATTTGATCAAAAATACTGTAAAAATTGTGAAATATTTTTACAATGTAAAACAGCTGTTCTCTATGTGAGTATGTGTTCAAGTGTAATTTATTTCTGTGACGCAGCGCTGTATTTTCAGCATCATTCCTCCACTCTTCAGTGTCACATGATCTTCAGAAATCAGTATAATATGCTGCAACTGGAAGTAAGTATTCTGCGCACTACTCAGTATGTAGTAAGCTAGTATTGCCTTCCGAACACAGCGAATGTTGTGGAAGAGCACAGGAGCGTTTGATAGTAATATTGGGGACGAACGGCAGCAAATCATGTGATTGCTGATTGCATGCATGAATTTGGTGTTTGTACACGATCTTACACGAACTAAAAAACCCTAAAGAATGAGTAGATAAAGTGACTCGAGGTGCACGAGACGGAAGAGTCATAAATAACCGTCAGCTGTTAGGATTCAAGGTGCTTAATTATGGAATGTAGGTGAAGCGATCTGTTAGTGAAACCGGGAACATTATTACGGACTTTTCATACAATTTCGGTCCAGTTCTGCAGGTTTTTAGAGCCTGCTGTTAGGAGAGATGCATCGCTGTTGTTTTGGAATAGTTCACCTGAAAATGAACGTTTGCTGAAAATGTGCTCACTCTCAGGCCATCTGAGATGTAGGTGAGTTTGTTTCTTCATCAGATTTGGAGAAATGTAGCATTTATTTAGCAAACCTAAATAAAAAACGTCTTAATGCTGGATTAGTTTCAGCTTTTGTCTTCTCCAGATGTGAACTGATGGACACATCCAGCATTAAGATGTTTTTAACTTTAAACCGTTGAGTCCATGATCCATAATCTAAAATTCTTTACGGAGACTGTGAATGGGATTTTTCATTAATTAAAAAAAAGCTTGAATAAAATAAAATATATGTATTATATGAAGAACTTTTATGTTAACAAATTGGAAATGCTGACTGAAAATAAGTATGTTCGATTTAAAGTACTAAAATAAAAATAAACTAAATATGGTGAAATAAAAAAAAAATATCAATATTAATCAAATGAAATAAAACATTAAACAAAAAAAAGCGAAAATTGGAAATGCTGACTGAAATAAGTGTTTACTAAAATAAAAAGATACTAAATATGGTGGAATCTAAATTAAATATTAATATTAAAAAAACAAAAATATTAAACTTAAAAAAAACTTTTAAAAATTAAAATTAAAAATGCAGCCTTGGTAACTAACTGAAATAAATAAGTTTAAGTGAAAGTACTAAATATGGTGAAATAAAAATAAAATATTAATATTAATAAAATAAAACATTAAACAAAAAAAGAGAAAATTGGAAATGCTGACTGAAATAAGTGTTTAAAGTACTAAAATAAAAAAACTAAATATGGTGAAAACAAAATTAAATATGAATATAAAAAAAACAAAAATATTAAACTTTAAAAAAAAAACTAGATTTTTTAAAATGTATTATTAAAAATTTAAATTAAAATTAAAAATGCAGCCTTGGTAACTAACTGAAATAAGTAAGTTTAAGTGGAAGTACTAAATTACTAAAACTAAAATGGAAATAAAAATAAATTTAAGCTAAAAAGAAATATAAAAAACAACTACTAATAAAAATGACAAGAGCACATAAGACAATTACTAAAATTGGGGGGAACGAAAACTGAAAATATAAAAATAAAGGCTAATTCAAAATAGTAATAATCCATAATAACGCTTCCTCCAGTGAGTCAGTGTTCTGGTGTGAATCAGGAGAGAAATCTGCACAGATCAAGCACCGTTTAAACAGCTCTAAACAAATATGTGGCTGGATTTTGATGCGAGAGACAACATCAGATGCACTTTTTCACTGAGGAAGCGTTATTATGGATTATGGACTCATATTTTAGTTATAAGCGTCTTAATGCTGGATTAGTTTCAGCTTTTGTCTTCTCCAGATGTTAACTGATGGACTGGAGTGCTGTGGATTATTGTGATGTTTTTCTCAGCTGTTTGGACTCTCATTCTGACGGCACCCATTCACTCCAATGGTGAGCACGTGATGCAATGCTGCATTTCTCCAAATCTGATGAAGACACAAACTCATCCTAATCTCGGATGGCCTGAGGGTGAGTGCATTTTCAGTTCATTTTCATTCTGGGCTGAACTGCACGCTGGAGGTGCGTTCAGTCGCGCGGGTCGCTGATCTCTAAGTGGTCCGGGATGGGGAGCCCCGTGAGGACGGTCAAGCACTTGTTCCACACGCTGAAGACGGGACAGATGGGCTGCGAGAAGGCGATGTCGAAGGTGTACAGGTGCTGCGTTCCCGCGGCGTCGTAAAACGCCAGAGAGCCGGAGTCGTAGTCGAGCAGGACTCCCAGACGCCGCATGTGAGGAGACGGCTCGATGGGAAACTCCTTACTGTTGTGACGCACGGCCCACGAGGTGTTGCAGCGGCTCAGTACCCATGATGCCGAGTCCTTACCCACCCAGCCGTGCTTGGGAGCCGATTTGTAGGCGATCCCGATAGCAAACCTAGACGAAATACATTTACATACACAAGTTTATTTATACACTCTACTGGTCAGAAGTTTAGAACAATTCAGATATTTTAATGTTTTTGAGTCTCTTCTGCTCACCAAGGCTGCATTTATTTGATCAAAAATACAGTAAAAATTGTGAAATATTATTATAATTTAAAACAGCTGTTTTCTGTGTGAATATCTGTTAAACTGTAATGTATTTCTGTGATGCGCAGCTGTATTTTCAGCATCATTACTCCAGTCTTCAGTGTCACATGATCTTCAGAAATCAGTATAATATGCTGCTCGAGAAACATTTCTGATTATTATCAATGTTGATGTATTTTGATTTATGATACTTCTAGTCGATGATTATTTAGTATAAAAATGTATTTTAAATTTACTGCAAAATGTTCAGATTTCTACAAGCATAAGTGGATTTATAAGGTTTATATGTTATCATTAAAGGTGTAGACAATATTATTATTAATATATTATAATTAAAAATAAACTTTTTGCGGAGACTGAATGGGATTTTAACTTCAGGAACGGACTGTTGTGCTCTATTCAGTGTCGTTATTGTTAATTAAAACAATTTTCATTATTTGAAATAAAGGTGAAATTAAATAAAATAGAAATATTAGATGAAGAACTAAAAACTTGAAGTACTAAAATTACTAAAAGTAAACAAAACAAAACAAAACAAAACTTAATTTAATAAAATAAAATAAAATAAAATAAAATAAAATAAAATAAAATAAAATAAAATAAAATAAAATAAAATAAAATAAAATAAAATAAAATAAAATAAAATAAAATAAAATAAAATAAAATAAAATAAAATAAAATAAAATAAAATAAAATAAAATAAAATAAAATAAAATAAAATAAAATAAAATAAAATAAAATAAAATAAAATAAAATAAAATAAAATTAAATAAAATTAAAATTAAATTAAATTAAATTAAATAAAATAAAATTTAATAAAATTTAATAAAATAAAATAAAATTAAATTAATTAGATAAAGAGCTTAAACTTAAAAACATAAAAATTTGAAATGCTGTCTTGGCAACTAACTGAAATAAATAAGTTTAAATTTAAGTACTACAATTACTATACGTAAAATAAAAATTAATTAAATATGATGAAAAATAAAATAAAATATTAGATGAAGAGCTTAAACTTAAAAACACAATTTGAAATGCTATCTTGGCAACTAACAGATATAAATAAGTTTAAATTGAAGTTCTAAAATGACTAAGTAAAACTGAAATATAGATAAAATGAGATGAAATAAAATAAAATATAATATAAATATTAATAAAACAAAATATAAACATTAGATGAAGAACTTAAAATTAGAACATTAGAAACGTTGACTTGCCAATTAACTGAAATAAATGAGTTTAAGTTGAAGTATAAAATGACTAAAACTGAAAAAAAAAATATATATATATATATATATAAATATTAAAATATTAATAACTAAAATTACTAAAGCTGAAGTAAAAAAAAAATATTTCAACCTAAATATAAAAAGCAAAAGCTAAATAAAATGACAAAAGCACATATAATTTCCACATATAAAAATGTAAAATTATAGGCATATTAGCATTGCTTCCTTGTCTTATTCAAGCTTACTGATATGATGATGTTTTGTCAATATATTGGAAAAGAGCCAGCGTTATCTATTTTGAATTAGCAATACTAATATATAAATAATACTAAGATAACTCTATATATTGTCATGTGACAAAACATCATCATATCAGTAAGTCTGAATAAGACCAGGAAGCGCTGCTAATATGTTTAGAGTGGCGCTGTGTGTGTTTACCACGTGCTTCCTCCGATCAGAACCTCCCAGTAGTGCCTGCCGCTGTCGATGAACACGTTCCCCGTCACGCCGTAGTTCCCCGTGCTGCCGAAGCGGTCCTGAGCGTGGCTCTTCATGGACGAGGCTTCGTCCCGCTCCACCGTCAGATTGTCATGTGACACCTTCAGCTTCCTGTGGGCCGCCTTTGGGTCGAGCTTAAACGGCTGACCTGCCATGCACAAACAATCACATCCATCCCATAATGCATCTGCTGCCAGTCACAGAGAGTCAGAGCTCATGACTTCAGGAGATCCCGCAGCTGTTTACTGTGAGCTCACATCACTAAACATAAAGACAAACGTTCGCCGACTGAAATAAAGCTGAAGTAACATCATATTAGAAATAGAAATATATAATAGAAATATTGCCATGGTAACTCGCTGAACTGAATTAAGTTGAAGTAATAAAATTAATAAAAATGAATTAAAGCTAAATATTCGTTCATCCATCTATGAAATCCTGAGTAATTTTACTATAAGGTCAAAGACACTAAACATAAAGACAAAGCTGAGATAAAATAAAGCTGAAACATAAATTAAATATTAGATGACAAACCTAAACTTATTACTAATTGCAACTAACTGAATTGAAATATATATTTTAAGTTGAAGTACTAAAATTAATAAAACTAAAACTGAAATAAAATATATATATATATATTAAAGGTCAAAGTCACTAAACAAAGAAAAATCTACTAAAATTATAAAAAAATTAATTGAATGAATGAATTGAAATAAAGCTAAAATAAAATAAAACGCTGAAAAAAAAAAATAAATAAATAAATATTAGACGAAAAACCTAAATTTAAAAAACTTAAAATGAGAAATGTTGCCATGGTAACTAACTGAATTGAAATACGTTTAAGTTGAAGTACTAAAATTGTTAAAAAGTGGAAATAAAAAATATATATATATTAAAGGTCAAAGTCACTAAACAAAGAAATAAGTACTAAAACTATAAAAAAAATTCTTGAAATAAAGCTGAAATAAAATTCAAAAATAAATATTAGACGAAAAACCTAAACTTTAAAAAACTGAACATGAGAAATGTTTCCACGGCAACTAATTGAATTGAAATATGTTTAGGTTGAAGTACTAAAATTAATAAAACTAAAACTAAACTAAAAATAAATTAAATCTAAATACTAAAAAAAAAAAACTAATAAAAATGACAAATGCCCATAACAATATTAATCAAATTGAAAACGGAAAATATCAAAATAAAAGTTAATTCCTATCAAATACAGAAATCATTTTTAAAACAACTAATTCTACAATAAATCTCTGCTGCAGTATTTTGTCCTTGACACGTCTCACTGTTGGTCTTGAGTTTGTCCGGCGGGCTGCTGCGGCTCCCAGCCTGGTTCATGGCCTTCACCAGGAAGATGTACTTGGTTCCGCTCTGCAGGCCGTGAACCGTGTAGTGATTCTGCTTGATGTTGGGCACGATCATCCAGCTGTCCATCGAGTTACACAGACCTGAAACGTCACGCACAACACCCAAAACAGTCTGTACATTTCTACTGGAGACAGAAAACAGTCTGTACATTTCTACTGGAGACGGAAAACAGTCTGTACATTTCTACTGGAGACGGACAATATGCTGAAATGCTCTTTTACTGTGACCACGCGCACAACAGGGGGATATATCCCGCTTAAAAATGATTCTGCATGTGCCATTTTTGAAAAGAAAAATTATTTCAGAATTAATTTTAGCTAATAAAATAATAATAATTATAATATTAATAATTGCACTAAAATGAAGCTTGAAATATAAAATCATTTCAGACCTAAAAGTCTTGTGAATTCCTGGTGGTAAAATAAAATAAAATAAAATAAATAAATAAATAAATAAATAAAATAAAAAATAAATAAATAAATAAATAAATTAATTAATTAAATTAAATTAAATTAAAAAAAAAAAAAAAA